AGAAAATATAAAAACTCATTTTGGACAAATATCCTGATAAATCGTTGCACAGATGGCCTTCTTTTCGTGGAATAGTAAGTAGTGAAGAGCTTCCTTTGGCGATTTAGTGTTAACATGCTTTGAAATTTTGGAGTATGAGCCTAGTCAGCTAAGATCGCTTAAGAGGAATGAAGGACTAAAACAGGAGTTTCCCAAAATAAAATGAGTATTCCCCAAAATGTCATTGTAATATAAGAGGTATTCACCATATTTCGTTTGAGTGATGAAGGACTGGTAGTAGAATTTTTCCACAATTATGTGGTTAGAGCTCACGTTTCTATTGAATTTCACATAGCCTTGCTTTCCCAGAAGTTGTTCTCAAGTTCAGAATGGACTCCCGCTGGGGGTGTTGATAAGACCGATGCGAGGTCGAAACTGCAGTCCACTCCCGCCTATATGAGAACAACATTTGGGAAAGCAAAGCTATGTGAAATTCAATGGAAATGTCAGCTCTACTCATATAATTGTGGGAAAATTCTACTAGCAGTCCTTCATCGCCTTAAATGAAATAGATTGAATGCATCGCCTAGAGAGTTCTTAAGTTCCTATTCCAGATTACTAACCGGATAACGCTTAAATAGTATGGTTATTCCGACATAAAGTGACCAGTTTAAAGCTTCAGGTAATTATATAAATGAGTTACAGCTTTAAAGAAGTCGAAAAAGTGAAAAGAAATAGAAAATAAAGGCCGGAAATTTTTCATCCCACTCGAGGTAAGGTGCCTCAAGGACAGCTTCAGTATCAACGTCTCATGAAAATCAAAGGCCAGACTAGAGCCGATCCTCCAAGGTCTTACGGTAAGGTCGATTTGCGAAACTCTTCATCTTGTACTTCCAGAAGAAATCAAGATGAGTTCCAAAGAAAATGCATAAAAAAGCAGTTTACTCTTTATATGATGTCATATTGGGACAGATCCATCATTTGCATTGCATGATGCATAGTGTACTGATTCACTCGGTTTAGCACTAACAAATCCATGGCAATCGAAATACGACATTAAATAGGACATGAAAGATCCAATAGCATGCGATTTCTAAAGAGCTGCATCAATGCAAATAAGCTTCCAAGAGGAAATATGCAAAATCTTTGCAAAATAATGAATAAAGCATGTGGAAAAAAGCAAAAAAGACTACAGCTAACACTGAGCTTACTTTATTATTGCAAGCGTCATTATCCTCGGCGCCAGAAAGGAGAATCTGCTTTCGGTTGAAATCAGCGCATTCATTCGCTCCAGTCGTGACCGACAAAGAGCCGGCAGAAATAGGCACAGAAGCTGCTGCCAACTCTGTCGAGGTTGATGAAGCCGGAGCCTGCATTTCCTGTCTCTGAGGTGCCGTCTGCTTGAGCGAATTCAGCTCAGACGCAGTCGCGCCACCAGATTTGCCAGAAAGCTGATTCCGGTTCGGCGGTTGGATCCCCACTAGACCCTCGAGGGCATGCTCCGGCTCTCTCAAACCGCCCGACAGATGAGGAGAATGCGAGAAAGGAGGAGTCTGTCGAGTTGGAGCGATCGGTGCCACCAATGAAGCCATTCGACCGGCGCTTGGATGGCCAACTTTCGCCTTGACGGCAAGAGGTGCAGGTCGGCAAGGCGGCTCCAGCCCGAGTTCGCTCTGCCGTTGTTGTCGCCGTGGTGACGGTTGCGGTGCGGGAGGGAGTTGCTTCTGTAGCTGCTTGTCCTGTGATGCTGAAATCGAGACACGAAAGGATGGGCTTGTGAGAGCAGTAATGCTCATTGGAATGAAACATTGCATGAGAGAAATGATCTGTCTAGGACAGTGGTTCCCAAACTTTTCCTAGTCGCGGCGCCCTTTTTCAATTTACATTTTTCCATGGCACCCTACCCTAAGTATGACTATTCGTAATTAAGAGATAAAAATAAATAAAACTCGTGTATCTTCGTTTTTTTTCAACTTTATTAACATTAAATTAATATTTAATAATTAATGTGATGGATGAGCCTGCAAATTACTGCACATTTTCTCAAATTGAAACTTTTACAATATTTCGCGGCGCACCGTTTGGCAATCACTGGTCTATGAGATTAAGCAACGTAAAATGTACTACTATGAGTAATTTTAGGCATGTTGACCAAAATAGTGGCTTATTTTGGTCGTAATCTTCTCTCGATGTATATAACTAACATAATTTCGCTTTAGCAACTTGATTGCGTTGTCAAGACTACCTTGTTCGGTGTCTACTGTCATGGCAATTGTGAATGTCTGAAGATGGAAATGTTGAATTCACGTACATCGTCAGTGGACCCTGTCAATCTTTGCAGTACTATATAACTAGTCAAAAGGAATGACCTTGTCTCTCGATAGGGCGAAGCGTCTGGGAATATACCATGTCAACCAGCCGACAATTCGGCAGAGGACGCCAGACAAGGTGCATTTTTCGAAGTCACATTGAAAACTCGACTTAGTTGTTAAAATGAGATAAGACCAATTCCTAACGGTGAAAGGTAAGCACAACAGCACAAGACCGTGATGCTTACTTTGCTAAAAAGAAATTACGCAAAAGTGATTAGAGCAGAAAGGAAGAGAAACTGTGTTTAGAATAATCTCTTCGTAAATTCATGTTGTTTTACCCTTAATTTCCCTTGCGAATGCGGGCGGAAAGTATTTGTGAGTATAGATTTGTGTAAATAAATCTTCGGCCCACCTGCCCAGGACTTCTTTACACAATTCCGGCCACGATTGCCCAAAGACACTTCTTCTCCGGTTTAGCGTAAAACCGAATGACTTATCCTATTCAGCTGCATTTCCAAACGAAATGCCAATAGTAACAACAGAAAGATTTTCACTCCTCAAGTAGGGCGTGAGCCAGATAAGTCGTAGATAGGCTACGGCGGAAGTAGCAAGAACATTCACTTTTCTGTGTTGAACGTGCTCATGGCTAAAGGGAGACTCCAGAGCATAGGCTACTCGATGCTCCCATTGACATTGTTTAACAGTGTTGTGAAATGAATGCATTTTCAAGCCTGTCGTCGTCAGTTTAGTCTGTGATGTAGGTGAGATGAAATTTGAACGCTATTCAAATTCATCCAGAACATATATTATTTGATTAGGCTTCGAAAGTAGTAGTAATTCTCGAATAAGAATATAGTCACCATAGGTATGAAGACCAAGACGGTGTGGCCTTTTATGTGGTCGCAGTCTCCTTTCGTTGTATAGTGATTGTTTGACCTTGTTTTCGCAACATTGTCATATTGGTAAGAAGACTAACTGGAATGCACCTAGTCCGGGGTCCATTGTCTGCATGATCATTTCCAAAGTTGAACCGTGGACGTGGAACATTCCAAAGTCTCTTTGACGAGTGGCTGTATGGTGCTTAGGATGGTGATACTCACTGACGATGCCGGCGAAACGTTT